TGACCTACGCTGGGTTGTTTGCCCGCCTGTGTGTTTGTCTGCCCACCTTCTTTGCATTAGTGTCTACCTACGTGCCGATGTTCACCAGCATCAATGTTTATTAGAGATGTTAGGCTCTTAGTGTGGTTGAGTGTGGTTGCCTAATTTTGTAGAGCATCCAATTTGGACACACTGGCTCTAAATAAATGCTTCCCCGTGACGACGATGATAAGGACCCCAGCAGCGGCGCTGAGTCTTAGGAAATAGAACTCGGGTTGGGGTGAAAATCTATGAACCCTTAGGATCTAAGGAGGGTCGAGTCATCTGGTCCCGGAGGGCTGAGTTTCTCCCAATCTCCACCCCTGATCAGAATCTACCTTTTCACCCTTCAAGGTCCAGTTTCAGGACTGTTCCTTTATAAAGCCTTCTGAGTCGTGCTCAGGGCTTCCTCCCCCCAATCTGAACCTTTCCAGGTAGTGCAGAAACTTGAAACTTACAGGGGGGTGACCCATGACATTGCTTGTCTTATTATCTGTGTGTGTGTGTGTGTGTGTGTGTGCACGCGCATGCACAATAGTAAGAGCTAATGTTTCCTAGAGCTTTCTTGGATGCAGGGGCTATGCTAAGCAATATATATGTCATACATATGAAATACATATATATAATGATATATATAGATATTCTGTCTCCCCAGCTAAATAATTAACTCCTTATGGGCAAGAGCTAAGTTCTGAACTTGTTTCTATGCCCCCAAGAGAGCTTAGGATGGTGCAGAGTACTCAGTAAACATTCAATAAATATTTCTGGGCTGTCAACAAATCCCAAGAAATTAGTAGAGTTCACTCTGGAAGGAATGTTGAGTGAAACAATAATGGAATCAGATTCATCGATGAACATTTTTTTGACTGCCTGATGTTCAGGTATAACCAATCTGGGTTGTCATTCATTAACTAATTGTGTATCGCGGCCAAAGAGCATGGGTCTGGAAGTCAGGTGACATAAATCTCATCCCACTTCTGTGACCAGGTCAGGGTAGTGCCTTGGGCGAGTCTCTTCCCCTTTCTGGGTCTTAATAGCCGCAAAAAAGGAATTGGACTAGATGGCTATAAGCCTCCTTCCAACCCCAGAATGATGTGATTCTATAGCTCTATCTACAAATGCACACGTTTCTTGTTTGTGACATAAAGCCCCACAGAAAAACAAAGTCGGCGAGAAATTATGAAAAACATCGGGTGCCGTGATCATTTGCACCCTCTAAGGATGCTCAATTCAATAAATTCCACCCCTGTACCTAGCCTGCCTCTCCAGGGTGACAGAAGATTCAAGGCTGTCAGTGGAGCAAACCAAACAGTCTCTCCCCATAATTGTATTGACAGGATATCAGCCGAGTTCCGATGGCAGGAAGGGTGCACCCTGACAGGTTCTGTAAAGGAGCCTTGAAGGCTATTGTAGCAGGATCCTCTGTTGAGTCACAGAGTTCTGGGGAAATGAGAATCAAGCAGGGAGAAGCTTGGCTCTTTCTCTATTTAATTTTATTCTTCCCAGAGAGTCACATTTGAAGGAAAACTGGCTAACCACACGTCACTTTATACAATAGAATAGATGCCCTTTCTAGTGGAAAACATTTACATCTTCTTGTGGCCACATTAAAACATGGAGCTGATTCAATCAGTCCCACTCAATAGCCAGTTGGCTTGGTTTTAAATGAGGCAAAGAGTTGTTGAGCTCTTGCTGATAAAATATCTGCTTGGATGTCTAAGGTTTTCACTTTTCACTTGGTTACGGTGGCACCTTGCAGACATGTTCTTGAATAACTGATGTGTGTACGTCCCGGTAAATTCCATGGGTGTGAAACAGCAGTGTTGTGTTTGTTCAGGCAGTGTGTCTGCATTTTAAATGAAAAAAAAAAAAAATCCAGATCCTATTCACTGGAGAAAACAAATCTGCGCAACAACCCCCCAATATGGGGGAGTAAATGACTCTTTCTAAGGTGCTATGTTCCCCCAATACAGATGCAACCTTCAGATTCAGACTGAGACAAAACCAAAATATACTTCAGTTCCAATCATTCTCCTGCAGACACCCCAGGCAGAGGGCTCTCCCACCTCTGCTGCACACAATGAGAACTCGCACAGAAACAAGGGTTTGAAAATCTGGGATTGTAAAAACTGACATGCCATAGTCAAGAAATCCACAAGCCATGCCTCAACAGAAATTTCAGCAATATATTATTTTTAAAAAGATTTTTTTAAAGGCTCCACAACCTTGGACACTTTCAATCTTCTTTTCTTGAGAGCTGAAAACCTCAAAGTTTTTTTCATAATTTAAATTTCCTTTAAAATAGAGGAAGCTTTTTGGAGTGGTAAAAGTAAAGCTGGGCTGGGAGCCAGTGCACGTAGCTTCTACCCCCAGCTCTGCCAGAACCTTGCACAAAGAACCCACCACAGACAGCCTCAGCGTCCCCAGTGTAAGGAGGGGTCTGGAGAAGGTAACAATCAAGGTTACTCCTTGCTCTCAATGTTTCTGCAGCTTTTACTTAGGCCAGATTTTAGTAGAAAAATCTGATAGCAGTGGTCAGTATTGAAACGTGGGCATAATCTTAACTGCTACTGAAACTACCTTACGGCCCATCAAGAACTGAAGGGAGAAAAGTAAGAAGGAAAGACCTGCTTTCCTGACCGGAGACAAGCTGGGCACGATCACCAGTGCGCCCCCTGCTGCTTGAGCCGAGTCACCGCTGACGGGGCAGCCCTTCTCTGTGTCTCATGCTCTGAAGACAGAACCCTCGGTGGTGGGTCAGTGTCTCCTGCACATTTTCCAACCCAAAGTTCAAGTTCAGGAATTAGGACTGAATTCATCTGTAAGCTGTTCAGCTAGTGCCATCCAGAGGCCAAATACTGTCCTTCTTGATATGCAGCACAAGCAAAAGGAAAAAAGGGAGGGGAAATTTTTACTTATAGATGTATGTTATACATGTTAGACACATGTGTATTGTACATACATATATGTAAAGTGTATGGGTATATACAATGTGTATATATCTATGCATATACCTATATGTATGTATGTGTCTCTATGGATGTATTATACCTTGGGGTGGACATCACACTTAATTCGCCATGGAGAATAACTCCATTACGCTGTCCATTTTGTATTTAAGTAGGAAGGAGTTGGTCCACCAGTAACTGCTTGAGTAAAAGCAATGATCAGAGGCGAGGAAATTGATTCTCCCCTTGATCCCAGAGTGGTGAACCCCATCTGTCTGTGCCATCTGTCCTCTGAGAGTGGCTCTTCTCACCTAGAAATAAGTGAAGGACTTTGCTCCACTTTGGGAGGCCTAGGAAGGGGAGGTGTTAGATGGAAGGGTGCCTAGTGTGATAAGCCAGCTTCTCCCAGCTGCTGGCCCAGGAGAGAGTTTGGGTAGCGCAAGAGGAGAGAATCCGTGTTTTCACAGGAGCCAGTTAACTCAGCTAATTCTATCGCGATGTTAAGAAAGCCCAGCTTCCCTGTACGAAACAAACAAACAAAAAACTAACAACAACCAAAACCTCTGGGCTCTCAGCAGCTCCTGGCGTTCAGAATCCACGGTTATCACCTGCGCCTTCCACTCCCGGAATCTGGGGAACTGCGCGCATTTTTAAAGGCACGCTGCCCTCTAGTGGCGTAAGGTAAAATTGCTCCATGACTAGCTTCCCAAGCGCCAAACTTCAACTTGACCTTTCCGAAAGGCGCGTTGGTGCCACGCCGGCGTTGGGTGATCACCAGTTCCGAAACGTGGCTAATGTAAGGGGGCGTGCGATCAAAGAGGAGGCGACCTAGCTGGAAACCGCGGCTCCCTCGCTCGTTTGTGCCTGTGGGACCCCTGGGGCAGAGATTCGCGCTTTTTATCTCTTAGGGTCGTAATTCTGGTTAAGAGTATGATTGGGTGGAAATTAGCGTGTGAAGTGATGCTTCCAAGAGACGTACAGAACACTTGCTACATAACAGCAGCCCAGGCGTGCAGGGGAATCGGGAGAGGTGGCCTGCACCCTGCGAGGGCTGGCAGGTGGTTAAGGACGCAGTCTGGGTGCTGCTACCTGTCTGTCACCCTGTGGGTTCACCCTGCGTGAATACATATGCAAATAGCCGCCAACGTGGCGCCGCGTGTCAGGGGTCTCGCAGGGATTACCTTATGCAGTCTTCCCAATCACTCCCTTTAATGAGTGCCATTATCATCCCACTTTGAGGATGAGGAAACTGAGGCTCAGCGAGGCGATGCGGCCTGCCCGTGACCGCCCGGGGGTCCAGGTCTGTCTGGACCAGAGCTGGAGCTCCCAGTGCCGGGCTCGGAGCGGGGCGGTGGGGCCGGGGCAGGACGGGTGGAAACCCCCGGCCGCGTGGGTGCCCAGTGAGGGGACGAGCGCAAGAGGGTGATGGGCGTGGGGACGGCTCACCTTGACGATGAGCGGGTTCTGAAACATGGAATCTCGCACGACCCCCAGCCTCTCGTTCTCCATGCCCGGTTGGATGTCGGCCACGGTCAGGGGCCGCCGCGGGGGCGGGCAGATCTGGCTGACCGTGCGGCGCACCGGCGGCTTCTTCCATCGCGTGAGGTCGTGGCAGGAGGTCCTGGCTTCTGGCATCCCGTGGGTCACGGGGAGTCGGCCAGCCGGCTGGATCCAGCGCGCTTCTCAGGTAGGGGGCCGGTGCGGAACTCGGAGGAGCCCTCTGCCAGTCCCGGGACGCACCACACGGACGCCGGGGTGGACACCGGACGCCGGGCTCCCTCCGGAGCGAGGCCCCCACCTCGCCCAGCCCCCTCGTTGCAAGGAGCACTAAGACCTACATAAGCCCCTCTGGTTCCTGAGAGCGTCTTCTGGGCGCCGCGCTGCGGATTCGAAAAGGAGAGAAAATCAAGACCACCCCTTGAGGAAGAATGGAACCGCCCGTTTCCATTGCGACAGGACGCCAACGGCACTGGAACAGGGCTGGTCGATTTACTTTCAGGAAACTTTTTGGCGGCCACCTAAATGGACGTGTTTCGAGTTTTCTTAAGTAGACCTGAGAAAAACCCAAGAATCACCACTGGGCTGTGTTAAAAGCGACGGAGTTCTAGAAGGCCATTTACACTTGACTTCCAAGTCAAAGACACCCCCCACCCCCGACTCACCACGACCCCTCTCGCCGCCCCTTCCCACTTCTCCCAGCGACACACACACACACACACACACACACACACACACAGCCCGGGGCAGAGCGTTACGTGTTTCAGAATGAAATAGAAATCCGCATTCCAAGCCTGATGTTACTGCTAATCCACTGGGTGATCTCAAATTAGTCACCGTTTGGGTCCTCAGTGTTTTCTTCTGTGAAATGGGTAGGGGGGAAGTCTAGAGTTGAATGAAATCAATGGTACCCAACTTTGTGCAACAGAATAAAGTTGAAAAATACAGATTCACTGAATCAGAATATCTGGCAATGGGATCTGAGAATCTGTATTTTAATCCTTCTTTCCCTTTGGATTTTTTTTTAAGTTCAGAGCTATGGAAACTTTGAAAGAAGAGTACAATGAAAACCCATATAGACCACCTAGATTGACTGGTCCTTAGTATTTGCCACATTTACTTTCTGTGTGTGTGTGTGTGAACATGCACACACACGCATTGCTAAACCATTTTGAAAAGATCTGCAGACAGTATCATATCTGACCCTAAATACATGTATCTGCCAAGAACAAGGACATCCTCATACAGAACTACAATGCTGTTATGTCTATGGATTTTAATGTGATACAATAATGGTGCCTGATACGCAGTCTGTATGCAAAGTTGGAAATCTGCACTTTTTAAGAGCTTCCCGAGTGATTGGTGCAGTGTTTTGGGAACCACTAGCCTGGACGATCCCTAGTCTGCCTTCTAGTTCCAGTCTTTAGTGCGGTCATTCACCCATCATTATCATCGTCATTAAATGTGCAAATAGCTACAACGCTCTGGGTAAGGGGTTCACCACAGAGAAGCTGCACAGACAACAAACCTGCACTTCAAGGCCTTGCACAGCAACAGTGGACAACACCAGCATTACCTTTCCAGAGCAAATCAGACAGACTTCCAACTGTCCATCCAAGGCCTGAAGCGGCCCTTGGGTGGTGACAGGTGTATGATGTATGCTTTATGGTTTCTCTAGTCTGCTTCACTTTCAGACTTTCACATAAATGCACGTTGTGCACTTTTTAATCAAAGCTGCTTGGCAGCTCACACAGAGGAAGTCAGGTGGTGCGGCAAGGCGCAAGATACTGGAGTAGTGGAAAGATCACAGGTTTGAATCCTAGCTGGGGCCACATAAGTTCCCCTGTGACAAGTTACATGAGGCCCTAGTTTTCTCATCCACAAAGTAAGGCTGATATTACCTAAGAAAGATTTCCTACAACAGGGGTCTGTTACAGGATTCCATGAGAAATCTCTTTGCTGGTGTGATTGTGTTCACTATGCAGTAAGACTAAAAGTTTGAGTGGCATGTATACTGGCCTCGACTTGATGGCCTGCTTACAGCTTTACTTTTAATCATAAGCTTAGTTTCTTCAGGACTCAGTGGAAATGGGAGAATCGGAATAGATCTTCAAGGCTTCTTCTGCCTCTAACCTCCAACTAAATTCAATGTGCATTAGACTCCGCACCACTGAGCCAACCCCTGACTTCACCCCTTACCTCTGTCCCCGTCACTCACGATGCTCCCGCTACCCTGGCGGGAGTTTCAGTTCCTCCAGCAACCAAGTTCAGGGCCTCTGGGTTTGCTCCCAGCCTGGAACACTCTTCCATCGATTTTTGTTCACCTTTTTCATTTAGAAATCAACTGTCACTCGTCAAAGAGCCTTCCTTACTATCTAACCTAGCTCTCACTGTCTCTAGTCGCTGCCCATCACATTACCCTGATCTATTTTCCTTAAAGGATAATCTGAAATTATCTTGGTTGATTAGTTTGTTTTCCTGTCTTCCTCAGGTTAGCCCTCAGCATCTTGTTCACTCCTGGACTGCAGACGGCCCTCAGCAAAAAAACCTGTTGAATAAATGGCATGCATGCATGAATGAGCAAGTCGGCGGAAGGGCTCTGTCCCACTTTCTTAGTTTTAGGATCACGCTCTACCGGTCCCACCCCACTCGCAACAAGCCCGGGAACAAATTGGGCAGAAAACGATGCGAGTCACAGCCATACAGTCAGCAAGCTGCTACGGCAGCGCGATGCCGGAGGGGGGCGGGCCGGAAGTGACGCAAGCCACTTCCGCTTTCACGACACCAGCACTTCCGGATTGGAAGGCAGGTGGCGACGCTTTTGGAAGGTAGGTGAAAGCGCCTTATAGTTGCTCCGGCTTTTTTCCCAGTTTGCGTGTCTGAACCGAGCGGTGTGTGGCTGCTGTCTTCACCTCCCCGGAGGCCCGCCTTTGGCCCAGGTCCCCAGGGATGAGGGTGGCTCCTGTTTTCTCCGCAGCCTCTCCAAGCCCCTCCACTCGGGAACCTCTCGTTCGTTCCTCCCTCTCAGCCCCGAACGCCCACCCCGGGGCAGAGCAGGGTCTCCAGGACACCCCAAAGTGGGGAGGGGATCGGGACCTGGCTTGGGCACGTCCCTGCACGGCGGGAAGTGGTATGTTCCGAATAAGTGTATATCCATATATATCGAACGCCGGGGAACCATTTGGGAACCAGACGGACGAGAAGATCCCAGCCCTTAGGAGGCCGGTTATGTCCCAACGGAGCGAAGTGCAGTAGGGAAGCAGCTGGATTGTTGAGAAACATTGTAACGAGAAGGCGGGACCCAGAAGGGATTAGAGAAAGTGAGTTTCAAACTTAGACCAGTTATAGCGCAGAAAGGTAACGGAGGAGAGGCATTCCTGGGAAAATGAGATGCTTTTGTAAAGTCCCTGATAACGAGAAGGATCATGGTGTATTCTGGGAACGGAAAGAAGACAGGATGTCTGAAACCCAGGGAGAAATGAGAGGTGGAGGGGTAGGCGTGGTCTAGACTAGACCATGAAGGGCATGGTAGGTCTGTAAGGATTTGGGACTTTATCTTAAGAATAATGGAGGGACTTCCCTGGTGGCGCAGTGGTTAAGAATCCACCTGCCGGTGTAGGGGGCACGGGTTCGAGCCCTGGCCCGGGAAGATCCCAGATGCCTCAGAGCAGCTAAGCTTGTGCGCCACAACTACTGAAGCCCGTGCTCCTAGAGCCCGTGCTCTGCAACAAGAGAAGCTACGGCAATGGGAAGCCTGCGCACCACAACGAAGAGTAGCCCCCCGCTTGCGGCAGCTAGAAAAAGCCCACGCGCAGCAACGAAGACCCAACACAGCCAAAAATAAATAAAATAAAATAAATAAATTTATAAAGAATAATGGAGAAGCTATAAGAAGGTTTTAGTGGGAAGTGACTATATATTTAAAACGTGTTGCTGAGTTCAAGAGACCAGAAGGAGAAGCATACAAGGTATTTACAAAAAGAAAGAAAGAAACTAATGGAAGGTAAAAATATTAAAAGGAATTATCTGCTCTGTTCATTGTTATTGAGAGATCCTGAGGGAATTCCCTGATGGTCCATTGGTTAGGACTCCGTGCTTCCACTGCAGGGGGCACGGGTTCTATCTCTGTTCCGGGAACTAAGATTCCGCCAAGCCACGCGGTGCAGCCAAAGAAAGAGAAAGAGAGAGATCCTGAAAGATGGGCCAGGAAAGTATCTCTTGAATTTAGTGGCTCGAAGGTCATAGGCACTCTAACTGGAGCAGTCTCAGGGGGGACTCTTGGAGGTGGAAGCTGCAAAGAAGTGGGTTAAGAAGGGGTTTCTGTGCATCTCTGGGTGACACCAGGGAGGAAGGCCTTACGAAAGCTCTTGGTGCCTCCGTTGGAGGTGAGATCCTGGCGCTGGTAGATTTGGCTTATAGGTATCAGTCCATATGTTTGTTATTCCCCATCCTTCCAGCTAGACAATTCTTATAGCTTCTTGACTACCTAGGAGAAAGTAGGTACCTTCTGTAGAAAATGTGCTTAAGCATTCAGACTTGCAAGACCACTGACACAGAGAGGTCTCCAGGATCTGTTGTTAAGTGAAAATAGCAAAATGCAGATCAGAATATACAGATGCTACCTTCTCTGTGAGAAAGGAGAGGAAATAAGGACGGATTATTTTGATGTTTGAACCATGTAGATGTATTACCTTTAGTATTACTTTTAGTCGCAGAGAAATAAAATCTTAAAAATGGAAACCCAGAAGCAATACGGAGCAAGGAGAGTTGTAAGATGTGTTTGTAAAATTATATTTTTAACCATATCTTTTGTGAAGCACATTTCTATTCCTGTACTTAAACTCCAGGATGCACATGCCCTGTATAAGAATTGACATTGGAGCCTTATTAAACTTCATTGCAACTTATTGCAGAACTTGGACTTTTTGTTGGACACTAACAAGGCCCATTCAGCCTCTTTGTCAAAGAGGTGATCTTCTAGTTTGAGGTCAGTGGATACTTGGTGTCCCTGCTCTGAACCACATCTGGGCTAAATGCTACAAAAGAGAAATAGCTTGCTATGAAAGTATATCATTTGCAGAATGGGCCAAGCTCAAGGAGTCAGGAAAGGTTTCTTTCTTTTCTCTCTCTCTCTCTTTTTTTTTGGTAGATACTTAAAACAGTACGTTTACATCCTTCAGTGGCTTGTTTTAACGCTTGTGTTTTTTAAAAATAAATTTATCTATTTATTTATGGCTGTGTTGGGTCTTCGTTGCTGCACGCAGGCTTTCTCTAGTTGCGGCGAGCGGGGGTTACTCTTTGTTGTGGAGCACGGGCTCTAGAGCACAGGCTCAGTAGTTGTGGTGCACGGGCTTAGTTGCTCTGTGGCGTGTGGGATCTTCCTGGACTAGGGCTCAAACCCGTGTCCCCTGCACTGGCAGGTGGATTCTTAACCACTGCGCCACCAGGGAAGTCCTTAATCCTTGTTTTTAAGTGAAAGCAGTCTGCGTTCTTGTTCTGCCCCTTGCTTTTTACAAAGTGAACTATTTCAGTTCACTTTAAAAGAGTAGACAAATAAGAGTAGACAAAAATATAACAAATACCCCTGTAGTCATTACTCCAGTTAAGAAATAAAAGATTATAGATATAAGAGAAACTGGCTCTCTACTTGTCCCTAATCCCTGAATTTACCAGTTATAATCCTCATGCTGTATTCATAGTTTTATTACATATGTATCCATTCAGAAAAGATACATGAAACTTTTTTTGTGTTTTAAATGTAATATACGTGGCATCGTAATGTATATATTCTCTTAATGTAACATACACGGCATCATAACATTTATATTCTTTTAACGTAGTAGGTATGGTATCATAATGTTTATATTCTTTTAAAGCTTTCTGGAAGAAGCAATGTTCAAGCCAAGCTCTGAAGGATGAAAGGAGGCGGGGAGGGTGGCCCAGAGAGAGGGAGTCGTGATTTATAAGACCTCAAGCCAGGGAAAGGATTGGAGCATGTTTGGGGAACCAAAAAAAAAAAAAAAAAAGGCATGTGTAGCACAGAGTTTGAGAGGAGGGGTAGAAGATGAGGCCGTGGGGGACAAGGGCCCGATCATGGCAGAGCACTCTTCTCAATTCACTATTTTTCTTTCCATATCATAAAGGCAAGGGAACCAGACAAGTGAATTACAGTGAGCTTGCTACGCAGTTAGAATAATAGAAAATTTATAATCGTGACTCCAGCCTTGTCATTTGTTCTGCAATTTCGTTTTTGTGTGATTTTTTTCTTTCTCCCGAAGCTAATGTTTAAAATGCTCTGCAAAAATAAACCATTTGGTTCCATTTCCCTATAGGAGTAAAATGGAAGGAGAATCAAGCAGATTGGAAACCCACACTCCAGTTTTCATCAAGAAAAAGACTAAGCATTCTGTACATAAGGAGAGACATGGGAGGCATCCCCACGAAAGTTTCAGAGACTCCTCCCTGGCAAATGAACAGGCTGACATAACTAAGGGTAAAAAAAAGAGAAAGGATGCCCAGCATCTTGTTTCTTCTCCTTTGAAAAAATCAGAAATTTGCGATGAGACTGAAAAGGCCACTACTATACCCAAAAAGAGTAAAAAGAGAAGAAAAGGTGCTTTGGGAGTCGATAAGGAAACAGGTGTTGCGTACGTCCTGGTGAATAAAGAAAACATTGAGAACACACCAAAGAATCTTAGAAAGGATGTCGATGTCGTTTACATTGATGTAAGCAAGGAACGAAAGTCAACAAAAGGGCCTGAAGCAGATGAACCGCATTTAGTTACTAAGTCACGTGAACATGAGTCAGAACTGCATGATAAAGTTCGGGAGAAAAAGCGGAAAAAACATCGGAGGAAAGTTGCATCCTGTGATGCTGTCCAGGAAAGTCTGGGTGCAAGCATCACCCTGCCCGGATCAGAATCCCAAGAGCAGGAACCCCAGGCTCCCATGGGCCAAGAAGGTGAAATTGCACAGCTACCAGTGTCTGCAGATAAAAGGAAGTCTAAGAAGAGAAAGAGGAAGCGTCCAAATGACCAGGAATTCGAGGCCTTGCCTGTGCCTGAGAGCGCTGAGAACATATACTCAGAGGGATCGCAGGTGATAGGTGAGGTCGGGACTGCAGGGGGCAATCAGGAATCCAGTGGCCTCAAGAAAAAGTCTAAGAAAAGGAAGAGAAGTTCTGTTGATACTGCCATGGCACCTGGTGGTGATTTTTCAGTGCTCAGGACGAGCTCTGAGGACATGCTCTTTGATTCAGTGGAAGGTAATGGTACCTTGATTGAAGAAAGTGCAAAACCCAGGCCACAAGAGGAGAAACCCCAGGCCTGTTCGGATGTGGTGCAGAGGTAATGTGCGGGTGTTGAGCCTTCTGATGGTGTGCGTCTTGGGTGTGAAGTCTGCCTGTCACCTCTTTGTTCAGCACGGCCATAGTAAGTGGCAGAAATCATAAAGAGATAGACCATCAAATGTATAGGATGTCATGCACATTTAACTGAGTAACTTGGCAGGTATCTTCTGTTCTTCATGTATAAAATAAGGCAGTTAGAGTCTGTTTTCACTAAGAACTATTCCAGCCCTGAAATTCTATGTATAAGTTTAAAAAGAATTTTAAGACCCCACAATTACCTTGTCTATATGTACAAAGATAGGAGAAAGGATCAGAGAACTTAGAATGTTACGGAACAGGAAAAAAACTTGAGTTAGGCTTCTCCCTAATAAAAGAAATTTAGATATCATTATTTATATAATTATCATTTAAGTATACTGGCCGATGAATAGATGCAGGAATTTTTTTTAAAGCACTTTATTTCAGTTCCTGGGAGTCGGGACAGGTTTTCTCCCAATTTCTACTCTGTGACTTTCTTACATTTGCTAGATTGTCCTGAATTAAAATAGTTGCACATAGAAGTTAAATGGCAGAGGGCCCAACTCACATCATCCTCTGTGCCTTCTCACTGGGGACATTTTTCGATCACTGATAACGAGGCAGGAATGTTCTCGGCCTGTGGTTCTTAACTTGTATGGGGCTGTGGACCTGTGAAAGCTGTTGACCCTCTGCTCAGACAAATGCGTAGTTTTGTTTTTGTTCTGTTTCAGTTTCCTGTCTGGGTGGTTAGCTGATGCAGTTGGCTAAGAGGAGCTTTGGACATCTGGCAGAAAGTTTGTGGGAGTGAATTAGTGATAGATACATAGAAAGCTATATTTTCTTTCTACTGCCAAGGGGAAAATATGTGGCCATTGTTAACTGCAAGGAAGCAGTTGTAACGATGTAAACCCTGAATATTGACTTAACTAATTAGTAACCATTATTATAAAACATAACTCATTGTCGGGGGGGGGGGCGGTGTCTTGAGTATCCATGGGCATAGAAGAGGGCTGAGCTTATTAGGAAGTCAATATCTGAAGCAATACAGTTGAGAAATGGTAACATAAGAAGCAATGCCTGGTGGAAATAGGGCTTAGGGCAACATGTTTACCTTCCAGGCAGCCTCTGAGGTGTATCCAAGTTAGTAAAGCTACATTAAAGAGTTCAGACATCACAGACTGAATCAACTCCAAGATCCCTTCCAGCTTTAATGCTGTTGTAGTCAAAGGGAGAGTCACTGTAAGAAAAGAATCTGAAAGCCGTTAGGGCACGTGACCTGTCAATGTTAATCAATCCAGTTTTTCTCCTTAGATTAGAACCTACAAATGAAGAAGAAAGCAATTTGGAGTCGGCCAAAGATCCTGAAACCAAGTATTTATCTGAAGATTCGAGAGATTCAGATAATTCAGACATGGATTTGGATTCTGCTGTGAGGCAGCTCCAGGAGTTCATCCCTGATATCAAGGAGAGGGCTGCCACTACAATTAAGCGAATGTATCGGGATGACTTGGGACGCTTTAAAGAATTTAAAGCCCAGGGTAAGCTTGTGGAACTTGAATATTTGTTGAACTTTTCTATATGCGTAACTAGCCCTGACTTCCTTTTGTGAGCGATTCAGATTTATAGATTCACAAAAAGCATCCCTTCGCTACTCTCAGCTTTATCTCCTTCCAGAATCGTTACCTGCGCTGTAAAATTACCAAAAGGAAGTGCACTAGTTTTCCTCTTCTTTGCCTAACTTCTGGTAGGGGAGGCGAGGAAAAACGGGGCTGACGGATCCAGGTGGTCCACAGACTAGAAGATCAAGCCCGGAAGAAGACGGGGAGAGGTTAAGTGGTTGAGACACTGGGAGGGGGGCACAAGGGAAATCAAATTAAAACACGCATATCAACATCATCAGCTTCGGTGAGGTGTAATTTCAAGGATATTAATTTGAGGGTGAGCTGGTTGTAGTGGGCATGGCTTCAGGCAACACCCGGCTTGGTCTCCTTCTTGATTTCACTGTGTCACAAGAACCTCCCAGAAAGCTTATTGGGTTTCAGAATGAACTACAAATGTAAGGTTGTGTACTGCAGGTGAGCAGTACTTACTGATGAGTATCTGCTGTGTGAGGCCCAGTGCCACTGGTCATTGAAAAAAGTAAAAAGGGGGGCCTTAGCCTTATGGAATTAATCATGTTGATAAGATTAGTTTTTTTAAAAAATAGACAAATTGATCAAGAAAAACACAATTTATAGAGCAATATCTATAGAAGGACCCCGTTTTATTTCTGTATTCGAGCAGTATCTATAGAAGGACCCCATTTTATTTCTGTATTCTGTGTCGACGTTTTTATGAGTATGTATTTTATAAAAGATTTTTTAAAATAAGTCTAAGATTAGGAAAATGTAGTGTGTAATGCAGTCAGTAGTAATGAGACTTGAGTGCTTTGAGTTATGACGAGGAATAGAACGTAAATTGCAGTGACATTGTCCCCACCTCCCCCCAGTATATATGCGTAGAGAATATACCTGTTCAGGTTTGTGCCGACCAGTTCGCAGCACTGCCTTGGGGGGAGGAGGGGCAGAGGAGAGTGAAGGGGGGGCTTCTTTTAAACTTGTATTTCAATACTGTTTGAATTTTTTTCTTTTTTTTTCTTGCGGTACGCGGGCCTCTCACTGTTGTGGCCTCTCCCATTTGCGGAGCACAGGCTCCGGACGCGCAGGCTCAGTGGCCATGGCTCACGGGCCCAGCCGCTCCGCGGCATGTGGGATCCTCCCGGACCGGGGCACGAACCCGCGTCTCCTGCATCGGCAGGCGGACTCTCAAGCACTGCGCCACCAGGGAAGCCCCTGTTTGAATTTTTAATGAATATCTATTACTGTTAATTTATTTTTTAAATAACTGTGTAAAAAGAAACTGATGACACAAGAAAGGTCACATTGGAGTAGGATGACCAGGGAAGACTTTGGGAGGACAGTGTGGCTTAGGCCGAGCTCTGCAGGAGAGCGAATGTCAAGGGCACAAGCAGGGGCTGCTCCCCGATAGGTAGGGAGGAGCTGACGGGTGCTGTTGTAATTGCTAAAGACCAAGCAGTGGTTCACTTTCATTCATTGTTGACAGTTGTGTACCTTTTTCTCCTGCCCCAAATCCTAGGTGTCGCTATTAAATTTGGCAAGTTTTCCATGAAGGAAAATAAGCAGTTAGAGAAAAACGTGCAAGAATTTCTCTCTCTGACAGGAATCGAGAATGCAGACAAGCTGCTGTACACAGACAGATACCCAGAGGAGAAATCTCTAATCACCGACTTAAAAAGAAAATACTCGTTTAGATTGCACATTGGTAAGTTTAGAACTGTGGCCTCTTTGACCATCCATAGCCTTCCAGCCTTACACAGATAACCACGGTGAGTATTGAGCACAGTGCCTGGCCTGTCCAGTACATGCAGTGCATGTTAGCTGCTGCTACGTTAATAGTATTTTTATTGCCAGCCTATACATTCAGGGATTTGGAATGTGTTCATGTCTCCCAAGAATAGTGCTTTTACAGATTTTCTAACAAATTAGATGATCGGCTTCCAGCTTTCCTACTTGGTAACAATTACAGTTTTGGTTTCTCATCTTGTCCTCTATTGTGTATTTTTTGCATATACTGCACAAAGTACTCTGGTGTACACCAGAGTCTCTGAAGTTTTTTAAGTAGAGCCATATTTGTGCCTTGAGCTGGAACCCTCCTCTTGGAGGTATCCTGGGGAAGTTAGAGGGTCATGAAGCAATGTAGGTTTGGACTGGGAAAAAAATCTCTCTTGAATTTAAAGAGGATAATTTCTTAGGTGGAATGCACAAAGGAAAACAGAACAATGAGCCCCTGCTGGGGGATCCTTTCATCTTTAGAGTGGCAAAGCAGGAAAAAGCTTATTCATTTGCAAAGGTTTTTTGTTTATCTTATGGAGAACTGCTGGAGTGTGTCCTCCACCTCCAGATTATGTTAAGATCCCTTTGCCTAATAAGGGTCTTTTCCATGAATTTAGTAGACCAGAAGCTAGAGCCTCTACATACTAAGCATCTAGTTTTCAGAGATCGCCAAGGAAACTGGGGATTTTGTATATCTGCTCCCCAAGACGGCTTTCTGCAGGGCATAGGAAACCGCAGCCTCCGCCTGGGGTCTAGGATAGCGCATGTTGTAAAAAGGGGCCCTTCTGGGTTTCTTTTATAATTGCGACTGCATTTCATGCCACGCTCTAGTTGTCCCTCTGACCACCTCTCTTCCGACTTTAGGTAAGGGCATTGCCCGGCCCTGGAAACTCGTATACTATCGTGCAAAGAAGATGTTTGATGTCAACAATTACAAAGGCAGGTAAGAAAAAAATTGAGCAGAGCATTTCTCTAGTCTTTGCTGATACTGTAGATCAAAATGTACACAACAAAATCGTGAAGAGTTTCGTGTGTGAAACCAGATGTGTCGTCAGGTGTATGTCTGCAGAGACCCTTTCAGTTTCCACCTCTTGAATAAATCTGCTGTCATCTTCCCATTTCTAAATCCCTGGCTTTTACTTTATGCTTTCATTTTAGCATTCTCCATGCACTGCCTCTTAGCGTCACCCGTGCAGTTTTCTCAGCAGCCTCCTAAGTTGTAAGCTCCTTGTGAACCCAGACATTCCTTCTCAGCGTGATGTGTGCCCTTCAGCACTGAGCCCAGTGCTTTGGGTTTTCAGTAAATACTTGAAGGTGGGGCTGAGCACTTGTGTGAGGTCATTTAAGTGTGATTCGGTAGCCTCAATGCAGAGCTTCATGTGGCAGTGGCCTTTATTCCTAAATAAAATACCCAATTATGGTCTGTTTCCAACATTCCAAATAAAACAAATGTAGACCGAGCGTCAGTGGTGGGTAAGCATTCTGCTTAAGGACAAAGGGACGAGGGAGAAAGCATCAGCTCCTACCCTTGAGGGCCCAGACAGCCACCTAGGGCTCAACTACTGATCTCACTTCCAGGAGGCAGATGGAGTGAATCTGGCAGGGCCAGTTGGGTCCTACTTAGCGCCATGATTTTAAATCAGGACATAGGTACTATCAGAACTTAACATTGATATGACCTTGGCTTCTTTTTAAAAATTTTTACCAAAAGAAAGAAACCTGAAGTAGAGGAAAGGTGCCGCCACACAGACTGAAACCTGCCCTCCCTTTTCCCCAAGCCCCCACTGTGTACTTTAAGGAAATTCACTAAAGGTGACATCGTAAATGGGACCAAAAAGATGCTTTTGGTAAATGAATGAGGTAACATGTTTTTCTACCTGTTACATCACCGTGGGAGATGACATTTTTCGAATAATGAAAGTCTGTCATTCTGATAATAAAGTTCATTCATTGGTACCATATTATTTGTGTTGCGATGACCATTTACCCTTAAAGTATTTTTCCAGCTTAAGGAACTCTTAAGTGAAAAAAACACACAAAGTCAAAAATCAAAAGAATTGTAAGGCTCCAAGGGGCCATGGAGGTCAGTGCACCTGTTTCCTCATTTTTGTACACTCTGTTTTTCTCTCATGTCCTCTTTTTTGTTGCTTCAAGGGTATACCTTTAAGTCTTGTTTTAAATCTCAGGAAGACCCTGCTTGCCTTATAAAGGAAACTGCTAAAAAGCTTGATTCTTAGTGGTGAAGGATTTCACATCTCTATTCACCATGCTCTGCATTTTAGATACATTTCTGAAAATGCTAGGATCTTACTGTCCCACGGTAGTTGTGGATCACCCTCGTTAGAAATGGTTAGCATTTTACTATGGCTGCTTTTGTGTTGCATTAGTAATAACAGAAACTACCACTTCTGGCCCCTCTTCCTCCCCCCAAAAAGGAATTATAAAAGTCATAAAGATGGCTTTTTCTTCCCTTAAACATTTAAGATGTTTAATCTCAAAATCCACATATATTATAGTGCACTTTAGTTCTTTTCTTTTACTGTATTTGCTTTTATGTGGGATTCCTGCATCTTAACTTCCTTAAACTGTGACAGATTTGTGCTAAGGCGTCTATCACATCTTTTTATTTTTAAAATGACAGCTGTCCTTTTTTTTGGCTGAGTTGGGTCTTTGTTGTTGCGCACGGGCTTTCTCTAGTTGTGGCGAGCAGGGGCTACTCTTCGTTGCAGTGTGTGGGCTTGTCATTGCGGTGGCTTCTCTTGTTGCGGAGAACGGGCTCTAGGCGCACGGGCTTCAGTAGTTGTGGCTCGCAGGCTCAGTAGTTGTGGCGCACAGGCTTAGTTGCTCCGCGGCATGTGGGATTTTCCCAGACCAGGGATCGAACCCGTGTCCCCTGCATTCGCAGGTGGATTCTTAACCACTGCGCCACCAGGGAAGTCCCTGTCACATCTTTATTGAGCATCTGTTGTCTGTCAAGCATTACGGGTACTAAAGTGTAGAAAACTGACAGGGTCCCTGCCCTCCGAGGACTTCCCCTCCAGAGCTGTGCTGTCCATCCATGTGACCACCAGCCTCATGTGGCCATGGAGAACTTGAACTATGGTTAGTGCAAGCTGAGATGCGCTGAAGAGTGAAGTATACAATGGACTTAGAAGGCTTGGTGTGGAGAAGAGAATGTAAAGTATCTCATTCATACTTTTAGGTTCTGATTACATGTTGAAATGGCTGCATTTTTAATATATTGAGTTAAATGAAATATGTTATTAATTCATTAAAACTAAATAAAATTAGGGACTTCCTTGGCGGTCTAGTGGTTAAGACTCTGTGCTTCCACTGCAGGGGGCGTGGGTTCGATCCTTGGTTGGGGAACTAAGATCCCACATGCCGCATGCTGCCGCCAAAAAAAAAACACCAAGGGCTTCCCTGGTGGCGCAGTGGTTGAGAGTCTTCCTGCCGATGCAGGGGACACGGGTTTGTGCCCCGGTCCGGGAAGATCCCACATGCTGCGGAGCAGCTGGGCCCGTGAGCCACGGCCGCTGAGCCTGCGCGTCCGGAGCCTGTGCTCTGCAACAGGAGAGGCCACAGCAGTGCCACAGCAGTGAGAGGCCCGCGTACCGCAAAAAACAAAACAAAACAAAAAAACACCAAAAACATGGAAGACAGAGTGGAATGGTGGAAAGTGGTCCTTGGTGATTTGACTGAGCTCCTGGATTAAGCTAACCCTAGGGCCCACCTGTATCTGGACTTTTCAATTGCCTGAGCCAATAAATTATCTTAAAAAAAACTAAATAAAATTAATTTTCACCTGACCACTAGAAAATTCTAAATGACATCTGTGGCTCATATTTCCATTGGCCAGTGGTGGCCTAGACGAAGAGTCAGGTAAACCAGGGAAGCCGCGAGTGTACAGTTGCCAGTGGTGACAGGGGCAGTGAGAGAGCAGCAGAGTGTCCTGTGGGAGAGGACAGCAGGACACCTCCAGCCCAGGCGGTCAGGGAAGCCCTCTCTGAAGATGCACCATTTAAGCTGCTTCTGAAGAGCTTGCAGGAGCTTTCCAGTGGTGGAGGGAGGCCATTCCCACCACAGGTCCAGAGGCTCCGAGGTGAGAAAGGCCGATAAGGCCAATGCGGCTGAACTTAGGGAGCGCCGAGCTTTGCAGGCACAGTCAGAAGTTTGGGTTTTATTGTGTGAAGCCTTTATGGGTTTGGCTGGGGAAATAACATGATCGGATTATTTGCCCTGGCCTCTGTGTAAGTGAGCCAGGGACGGCGGTGACTGACTTACAGGGTGCTCGTGGTTGAGATGCCGAGACAGGAAGTACCTGGGCTCAGGTCCTTGTAGGACTGCGCTGAGCAGGTCTCCTGACAGCCCGCCGTATACGGCTTCTCCCAGGGTCGCAGCGTGCTGCAGTGAGGATAGTGCTTTTAAGCTTGTGGTTAATGCTCAGCTGTGATCTGTTTTCCCTTCCTCTAAGGTATAGCAAAGGAGATACCGAGAAGCTAAAGATATACCAGTCCCTCCATGGAAACGACTGGAAAAAGATTGGCGAGATGGTGTCTCGAAGTAGCCTCTCTGTGGCCCTGAAGTTCTCCCAGATCAGCAGTCGTAAGTCGTGGTCTCTAGAGCCCACTTGGGTGAACGAATCAGCCCACAGCGGCCCAGGGCCCAGGCATCACTTACAGGCCTGTCTTCTGAGAGAGTCATCACTTTTTCAGCCATTCTCTTACTGATTCATTTATTTCTCCATGCATATTGATGCAACCTTTATTAACCAGACTGATTTCTGCCACACCTTATTTCAGTAGCTTTCAGTGTGACTCCAACTGCCAGGTAAACTGAACCCCACTCAGCCGGTGGGCAGGAGAGCCTGGGCCACCAAGATCCCTTCCCCCAGGTGGCCAGGGAAACCATCAAAGGGAGGGCCTGTTAGTCAGGGACGTTTCCCAAAACCAGTGTCAGTCATCTCTTGTGTCTTCTCTTTCATAAAAAGCTTCCTTGGTTATATTCTTCACCTTAAAAAGTCCCCAGTTGCTTTCAGAAGACAGTCCTTAGTGGGTGTTAGCTTCAGCCGAGAGGCTCACGTGCTCCGGCCCTGCAGGCAGAGCCGTGCAGCGGGTCCCAGACAGGCGTCTGCATGTCCGCACATGGTAAACTCTGAGGTGGTGGAGACCACGCCTTTTGTGCCACCAACTCTGGCCACCAGTGCCATGCGAAGACTCAGCACAGCCAATTCTGCCAGTTTCCGAGAAGTAAAGCAAACATCTGGATTTGCATGTGTGTGTGAAATCAAGATCTTTTTTTCTTGGGACTCTCTTTTTTAAAATAAATAAATTTATTTATTTATTTATTTATGGCTGCGTTGGGTCTTCGTTGCTGCGCGTGGTCTTTCTCTCGTTGCGGTGAGCAGGGGCTACTCTTCATTGTGGTGCGCGGGCTTCTCAATGCGGTGGCTTCTCTTGCTGTGGAGCACGGGCTCTAGGCACGTGGGCTTCAGCAGTTGTGGTACACGGACTCTAGAACGCAGGCTCAGTAGATGTGGCACACGGGCTCAGTAGTTGTGGCTCGTGGGCTCTAGATCGCAGGCTCAGTAGTTGTGGCACATGGGCTTAGTTACTCCATGGCATGTGGGATCTTCCCAGACCAGGGATTGAACCCGTGTCCCCTGCGTTGGCAGGCGGATTCTTAACCACTGTGCCACCAGGGAAACCCCTCTTGGGATTCTCTTGATTTTTAAATATTCATCCAAATTGTTATTGGGGAAATAGTAACAATAACATTCTGTAGGCCAGATCAAAGATATCTGTAGCCTGCCAGCTTGTGGCCTCTTCCTTAGCATGACTGTGAGCGTCTAGACAAGAAGAGCGAATCGTAGAAGCTTTTGACGCCCTGCGCCAAGGACTGGCTTTAGGAATTCACAGGTGCCAGGACTTCCCTGGTGGTTCAGTGGTTAAGAATCCACACTTCCACTTCAGAGGACGCGAGTTCGATCTCTGGTCGGGGAACTAGGATCCCACATGCTGCAGGGCAACTAAGCCCATGCTCCGCAACTAGAGAGAAACCTGCACACCACGATGAAGGTCCTATATGTGCTGCAGCTAAGGCTGAACACAGCCAAATAAATTTTTTAAAATTTAAAAAAAAAATAGAAAGGTTAATGAGTGCAAAATATTAAAAAAAGAAAAGCAAAAAATAAATTCACAGGTGCCTTCTTCATCAAGTACTGCGGTGGCGTCATTGCAGCTGTTAATTTCACTCCAGAAACTCTTGGGGAGAGTTATGTATATAACATGAAAGTCGTTTGGTTATTCTCTTTCCACTAAATGTTTGGGAACCTCACAATTTCCTGCAGGAGGTGTTACTCTTAGAAACAGGAAGAACAGCTTTTTCGAAGTTAAAAAAAAGATATGCTTTAAGAAAGGATTTTTTTCTTTGCAGTTGGTTGTGTGTGTGTGTGTGTGTGTGTGTGTGTGTGTGTGTGTGTGTGTGTGTGTGATTGGTTCTTAAAAAAATCTGTGGCCACTTTTGTAGTTTCATTTTGATTTGCGTGTAACTGATAGCTTTTTTTGTTTCGTTCTGTTTTGTTTGTCTGCGTTGGGTCTTCATTTGCAGCGCGTGGGCTTTCTCTAGTTGTGGTGAGCAGGGGCTACTCTTTGTTGTGGTGTACGGGCTTCTCACTGCAGTGGCTTCTCTTGTTGCAGAGCATGGGCTCTAGGCGCGCAGGCTTCAGTAGTTGTGGCATACGGGCTCAGTAGTTCTGACACGCGGGCTCTAGAGCACAGGCTTAATAGCTTGAGCACAGGCTTAAGCATGGGCTTAGTTGCTCCACGGCATGTGGGATCTTCCTGGACCAGGGCTCGAACCCGTGTCCCCTGAATTGGCAGGGGGATTC